CGTCACACATTTACGTATGAGACCGTTAGCAGCATTCTCTGGGAAACTGTGACTAATTAAGTAACAAGTTTCACTGATAAGACATTAAAAGTGATTAACGTCCTCAAAGCCAATCTAAAATACATGAGTACATGTAAATTGCGAATGTTTTATGACATTAGTTCTTGTTTTTTTAGTCTCAGTGTCGTTGTTACTATGTGCTACTGTCAGTTTGGTACGCTAAGAACTAAACGTAACTCACATTCCACTTTACTTAGTTGGGATCTCCACATTTGTTTTCTCTCCGGATCGATGTGTAGTTTCTGGCGTTGGAATTTGCTGGTTTCTCACTGTCATGACCCTGTCCTGGCCCTTGTAGTAGTGTCAGTATTAATGCATTACCTCAGTTTGGGTTGAAATGTCAGTAACGCGAATCGATGCGTGTAGAATTTCGATGTCGAATAAGCTGCATTTAGAAATTGTTTTTTCTTAAAATTGGCGTACACCGTTCACAGATTCTTTTCACTGCTTTCTTTCTTGCATTCCGACAATCCATGAGACTGCAACGACATCTTTTCCGTGTGCTGACTCAGGACTGTTGTGCTACAGAAGTTGTGTTTCGCCTCGATTGTCAGACGACCGTAACAGCTCTTTTGTATAGCATGCGGACAGTCTAACGTGCAGACAGTACCTCTGAGAGAATTCTCAAATCGATTTCCAAGAAACTCACGTCATGCGTTCCCGAGAGATGTTGAAATTATTGTATGACACACGCGGCAGTGTTTCTGCACGTGAAAACGCATTTAAGAAATTGGATAGGCTCTTGTAACGTTCATGTAGAACAGCGTTCCATTTAAATAATTACAGTAGGCCGCTTGGAGTTATTTTTTTTAAATGGAGTTTTGACGAAGACATAATACCCGTAGAGATTCAGAAATTTAATGAAAAGACGATGGAAAATTAACTCTTTCTTGTCCACATGTGGCTGAGTTGCGTTGAGGTGAAGATGGCTGTCTTCTGGGCTGTTGTACCATGTAATCTGGTAGAAGTTTGCTGACGTTTACCAATGTTTCGGAGGTCCTTGCTGTCTTCATCATCAGGGCGATCGCCCTGCGAAGCAACCCAGAGGACAGCCATGTTTATATTCATCGCCGTGAGAAACTTAAATCTCGTTAAATGAAAATCATTCTAATCAATACTGTTTTATGTATGAAAGAATGTGAAATTACATTAATATTCACACGCGTAAGGTTCCTATGTGAGGTTTAAGCATCTGTACATAACCGATTGGATGATAATGTTTTAAGGCGTTAGGCTTCAGAACGTCTCAAAGCACGTATGGGAGAGTTGAGAAATGAATACCAATTCGTAATCTTCAAATCTCAAGGGAAGAGATCATTTGGAAGCCCTAAATATGGATGTGTGAATAATGTTAAAATTTACCTTTAAAAATTGGATATATTGATATTGGTTCAGAACAGGGACCATGAATAAATCCTCGAGTTACATCAAAGGCAGGTAATATATTGACTGGATGAGCCACTGTTAGTTTCTCATGTAGGACTTCATGGAGGCAGTGAATAAGCTGTTCTGTTAGACTTATATTGTAAGGTTTGTAACAACGTTTTTGGGTGATTGACTATATTTGTACGAAGTTCATAAGGTTGCATTGACTCTTATATCTAATTCACACGCAAGGCTGAGGTTAGTATTATGTAATGCAATGCTGTTTTTCAAATGGAATTCTCAGAATTATGTTCAGTTTATTCTGAAGGACCAACATGTCGTTAGAGAATACAACTATAATTCTGATTACCTAAGTACAAGCCATTCAGAATTTCGTTAGTCTTATAGAGGGTGAATGTTCTGTGCCTTCGGATGTTTTTGTTATGCAATCCCGAAAAACAATTATGCACTTGTACTAAAAATAATCAGTCCTTATTTTGCATTAAAGCAGGTGTTCTTTCTCTCATTTATCCTATGCCTTGTTCCGTACCTCCATTATTGAAAGTGTCTGTACTCCGAAGATTGTTTTAAATCAAATCAGGGACTGGCTCTTAGTTCGTTAATGCACAACATAAGTTGCAGTAGCTCTTATTTCCATATCAAAACGCTTGAAAGAGGATAAGCATAAGAAACTTTTAACAGGTTGCGCGGGACAACGTAACAAAAAAACCAGTAAGCATTCAACATTCGCTTTAACAGGCCATTGGGTCCCTCCAACCTGTAAGTATACGGGGGTGTCCACCTTCAGTTGTGGTCCTTTCGGAATATTTGTCTCGAAACTGAACTTCAGCGTTATGTAAAGAGTGATTCAGAGGCCCCTGTATACCTGTAAGGGCACTTGGTGTTGGATGTAGGAAGTGATTCAGGTGTCTGTGTGTACACACGCGTCCCAGGTAGTGCACGTGTCTTGTGTCACACACTACCGCGTCACTTCCAACATTTGTTGTTCTTGCTAGTGCACAGGAACTTCTGAATCACTTTGTATATCGCAACGAAGGTTACTTTTTGCGTTCAGCAACTTCGTGCAATAGCAGTCTGGGAATCGTTTTAAAATTGCGTATCAGATTCTGCGTATCTGATGAATAGCCTGCCGCAGAGAGATACGGATCTGTATTTTCTGATCGCTCAGACTTTAATGATGTTTATCAGATCTTAAACATAGAAGGTATTGTGTTCCGATATCTGTGCCCAGCCATCAATATGATAACTGAAATCGAGAAAAGGTTCTGTGAACGTATTGTCACCAGATTTAGAGTTTTTATGTGCATTTTAAAAGCCTCAGTTTGAAGTTCGCTTCTTATGATGTTTGTTTTGTTTGCGCTCACCGAGACGTAAACATTATTAGTAATGGCACTATATGGCAAATGTTGTTGTTAGCAAGTGCTGCTACCATTAAGTAGCTTTTAGAATTAGGCCTGTTTGAAATGTGGGTGACGAAAACGTTGAAATAATGTGGTATTTAACAGGCAACAAGAAATTTCATGGAACAGAGTATAATTGTTGAGAAGCTGACAGCCTTTTAAGCTAGTCAGGGATTTTTCTGTCTTTTAACGAATCCATTGCAATGCTTACAATTCGCCGCCACTGGTGCGTTTCATTTTAGTGTCCAGCCTTCTGCACCCTACGTCACTGTGTCGATAATTGTTGGCTTATGCACTAGATTCGTACGAAATTGATACATCCGTGCAAAGGTCCACATGCCCAGCTAGAGATAAGGCTTTATCATCCGCATACGTGCTTGTCTTCGGAGTGGTCTCTTCATTTCAAGTTTCGCTAAAAATTTTGTATGCTTTTTTCATATCTCACATGCGTCCTACATGCCACACCCTTCGTATTCTCCTTGATTTAATTGTCATTGTAACATCTGATGAGAAGAACGGATTATGAAAGCTCTGCATGCAGTTTTCTTAAAATTCCTTAATTTCACCCCTCTTGTGTAAAAATATTATTATCCACAGCGCTATATTCTCAAACACCCTCAATCTGTGATCTTCCCGTTATCCGAGAGACCAAGTTTTACACCCGTACAGAACCATATGTTGATACTACCACGATGCGTGTTCGTCTTCATATTTCACTCACAGCTGCATAACATTTGCATTTGGTGAAATTCTGGTAAATATTAGTAGGAATCAGTTTAGGCCTACTGATAATTCTGCTCTTTCTGACAGTGAGTCTGTAAAATATCGCTGCCTTTTTTACCGTAGGTCTATCAAGCTGTTTCTTCACAATGATATCAGTTTTCCTCGAATCTTGTCGACTTGTTTCTTAACTGATGTGGCTCTGAGTTCTGTTAAATATTACTTGCACACACTGGCACAAAGTCAACACTTTCGTGTTCAAATGATGGAAATTCCCTCCGTATTCGCCATTTTCGATTTGGATAACAGATTAGTGATAGAACCGGCGAATGATAGTATAGTCCATGAATTTCGAAAGCAAAGATAGAGAAGCAATAAGAATCAGGCAATTACACATTTATAAGACGTGATCGTACTCTAAAAACAATATATTGATGAACTGTGTTTAGCGTGAAGCGATCTGCCGAATGTTTCTTAGCACAAAATAAAAAGATGGTTTAAAACCTGCAATTACGTGAGTCGACCTTGGGCAGAAAGTGCGGTAGGCCCAGGTCGGTCTTGTTTACCATATTATTATGTCTAATATCCGTGTAGCCTAGCATATCATTAATATTTATGATATTTGAAATAAATACATGCCGATCACAAACACCGCGCGGTTTAAGGCGTTGGTCTTCACTTCTCGAACTCTTGAGTTCGAATCCCGATGAGGCGTGGGTGTATGTCAGCGTTTTACTGTATTGTGCTGTCCTGAGGCCTCGCGATAGATCGATGCCTCGTCTAAGGAGTCCTGTCGAGTGTCCATAGGCGAATTCGTAATTTCAGAAGTAATTCTGAATTGGAACAGACCGTAATGTTTGTAGTTTGGTTTGAAAAACTTTCTTACCTGCTACCCCCTTCTAACGGACCTGAAACGTCCCTCCAAAGAAAACCGAGGACTTATGTTCTCCCAACTGGATTCGATCCTGTGTTTCTATTTTAGGAGCAGTCTTGAACGTTGTGAGTAAAAGACGGTATTGTAATTGTAATTAGAAATAGATGTGTATGCATACCGATGTATCGGCTTCATGCCGGAACAGAAGCAACGAATATCTCTCTACGTAGACGTCTTCTCTCCCGGAAAGAATTTTTTAAAAAAAATCGCTAGTTATCTCCGGTTGGTTGAGGGTGGAAGTTGTGTGGGTGTCGTGAATCGTTTAATGGCATTGACGTACTCTTATATCTACCCAGCCCCTCGTATTTCTGTACTTCTGGTGAACATTTTTCGAGACTTCTAGCTGGATAAGCGTGATCTGCGTGACGGCCAGCGTGGTATAAGCGTTTTCCTCACAGAGACCTTGCACTGTATCTCCTGTGTCTCTGTCTCCTTCCTCTGTCGGCAGTTGCGCCAACTATGGGCTATGTACATACTACGAAGCCATTTCGAGCTCAGTTGCATTGCGACTGCCAGTGAGGTAGTTCCGAGCGAGCGAAGAGGTTGTATTGTTTAACAGCGGTTCGTTCTCAGTATTACGCGAGCAGTGAATAACGTAACTCGGGAGCTCTCGAACTACTTTTAAATCAGTGACAATTATCGTATGGTCCATTTAATCTCACAAGCCGATATAAGAAGAGGAAAATGAACTTGTGAATCTAAATTTGACGGAAAAGTAATGGTAATTTTCCGGTATTGCAGGAAGTCTAGGCTTGAGTTTCTGATAATTGAGAAATGTTTACGTCGTCGTAATTTTTATTAACATTGTTGTTGTTTTGCTTGTTATTTTGTGGCGGCAACTCTAATTACCACATCAACTGTGCGTGTTTGCATCAGACCAGCAGGACAAACATGTGACTACTGAACTGCGTGCTATGTGTATAGTCATCAACAGTTCCTGTTGAAAGCCTCGGATTAATGATTTTTAACTGGTGTTTCGGTAGGTGTTTTAAAACTAATTTTTTAACAAGGCACGTCATGTATTTGTCAGAAAGAAGACAGTTTTCCTAATCACTTTATATTGGCATTAATTCTTATGCAAGTAAGTTAATTAATTTGCTCATTAAACATTATACTCGGTGCATTCTGAACAAGACTTTAGTTATGGTTAATTTTAATGTGAACAACGACGTAGTTAAATACAGTGTTTGCTCATAAGTGTAAATAATAAATAGACGGGATTATGTTTCACTTATTACTGATTTCCTTAGAACAAATAAGCAATTTCGAAAACTGAAAACAATTAATAACATACTTTGACCTCATCTATCATTTGAATGTTGTGAATTAATTAATTATTTGTAACACATTCAGTTGTTAATATAACACATAAAAACTTAGGGAAATTTGTGTGGAATTTGGTTTTTCATGTAACAGTTTGTTTATACCTTGGCGAATGTTTTTAGTGGGCTACGGTGCTATTGACGCCAGGGTGCAAACACAGTTTTGTGTGTGTTAATTATCTAGTTTTAAGATTCTTTCCAATGTGTAAGATGTTAACTAATGAGCCAACCAGAATTTGCCAACAGTTTCCATCAAAATTGACAGTTTAAATATCGGCTATATGCCTAGAGGTCAGTCTTCGAATAGCAGAAAATGCAATTTGATTTTAAATATATTTTTAAAATCCACGGTGTTTTAATTCAAAGCTAACATTCTTAGCGGTTTTATGAACCGTGACTGCTCCAGTATAACTTCTTGACTTTCAACTTGACCGTCTTTAAAATTAGACCGAATATTTTGGTTTCCTTTGCTTTGAAGGTCCCTGGAAGAATCAGCTGTTACTTCTAAGAATAAATATATGAATTTGAATCACCTTGTCTTATCGGAACTCGGTCTGATTCCAGTGAATACAAGGTTCCTCATCGGAGATACCTGAATTTTCCCTAAGGCGGGATTCAACAGATCTGGTTTTGACCAAAGCTAGGCTTTCTTATTGTGACTCCGACACAAAAAAGGCGGTAATGATGATCGAGCACTTGGTATCTTGATGTCTGGCCGAGTCTGTCACATACTTA